TTAATGTTTCTAATTAACCTCAGAATGACAGCCAACCCTGGATTAAGTGCAAGTGCCTGCTACAGAGATGTGAAAGGATCCCATTTCCCCACTCGATTCCATGAGAAAAGGAGATTCCGTTTCATGGGGGCTGGGGCACTGCACCGCGACTGCCAGCCTCATCATCACACATGCAGGCCCACCGTGGCCCCTTGCTCGGGTTGTTAACGCCGCCGCCAAGTCAACAGTGGAATGTCCCAGCTGCCCTGTTGTGTTCCGCATGACCCAGACGAGCCTCCTGTCTCCACCCATTGCTCAGAGCACACAATCAGCACCTTCACAGCCCCACCCTCTCTTTTAAACCTGGGTCAGATGCTACCATCTCTGTTAGCGCAGGACATTCCAATTTGACATGCCATCACCCCGGTCCCCTCCGCATCAGCGTCTGTGAGCATGCCGCTGGAATTTTGCAATGCACTGCATAAAGGAGCTGCTGTTACCATGGTGCGTGTCAAATGAGCCCACATCAAGAGTCCTCATTTCCATGTCCCTCAAACATAATGTCTCAAAGAGACCTGTGGCATAGTGGGTACATGTTGAGTTCAAGGTCAGCAGTTGAAAACCACCAGCCTCCCTGCGGGGGAAAGATGAGAACACACTTTTCTATTATAATAAAGAGTTACAGCCTTTGAAACCCACGGGGGAGTCTGCTCTGCCCTGTGGGGTCGCCATGAGTCAGAATCGACGATGGCAGTGGGTTTGGTCTGTGGTGATGTCTTGGCACCTGGGCAGCAGTGAAGAGCTCGGCAGTTAGCTGGAAGGTTGGCGGTTTGTTCCTACCCAGAGGCCGGGAGACCTGCTCAAGGTCATGGCCTTGAAAGCCTAAGGGGCCCGCTCTGAGGAGCAGTCAACTCCGTGGCAACAACAGCAACCTGTAGGGTTTACTCCAGTGGACTCTCGGGGACACATTGACCACTTTCGGAACAGCACGTTCAGTGGTGTCTCTCTCTTGCTGTCCTTTTGAAGCCCATCAAAAAATGCCTGGACTAAGTACAAGGACTGGACTTTCAGAAGCAAAACCCTGCTCATTGTTTGGAAACCTTCCTCTCTCGCTCCTTTCTCAACCAGGAATCCTAATGTCTGTTTCCTTGAGAAGACGCAGGAGAAAAAAAATGTTATTTACCTGAAGAACGGGCATGCTGCCCTGTCTTTAGCCTCGTGTCCCTCTGTGGGGACGCCTGGAGGCAGTGTCCTGACAAACGCTGTTTATTAAGTCTCCACTTGGTGCATCCCAGTTAGTCATGTCAAAACAGGTGTTTTCAAAATGTGAACCTGAACCTGAAATGAGAGGCCGGCTGGGCGTGGTTCTAATGTCGCCCCTGTGCCTGCAGCTTTTTTTTAGGCGAGTTGGAGAAGTGCCTTGAAGATCCGGAAAAATTGGGGTCCCTTTTTGTCCAGCACGTAAGTACCACAGCGGTCCCCCGTGGCACTGCCACTGGCAGCTGCGCCTCAGCACCAGAGCCCCCTGGGGTGGACCAGGGCGCCCGAGTTGAGGGCATGCGTTCTCCACTGGCTGGTGTCGGTGTTGAGTCTCGAACGAAGTCCTCTGTTAGCATCTTCACCTATGAATGGCGTGCTTCCCGGTCACCCGGCTGTTCAGCTAACATCCACCCCACTAGTCAGAGGGTGCCAGAGGTGACCCTCAGGCTGGAATGTTAGAGAATGTCAGTGGGCCTGCAGGGGTACGCTAGGATTGACCGTAACAGCCAGGGTCGCCCCTTGGGTTCCAGTCACCCACACATGGGCTTATTCCAGAGAAAACGTGTTTAAACATGCCCTCGCGGTCAGGGGAGGCCTGCAGACAAGTTCTCTCCGCAGTGTCTCCCTCTCCTCTGGGTGCCTTCCAAGGTATGTGCTGGGCAGAGAGGGCCGCTCAGAGGGTGGTGGCTACTTTTGGTGGATCCCAAAGGGATAGTAATCTCAACAGTGTGTCTCGAAGGACACAGGGAAATCACAGGGGCTTATTATGAAGACTTTTAGACAAATTGAAAACTGTCGACAGATGATGGGAAGAAAAAAAAGCCATTCTTCTGTTTTTTGGTTTGGTTTTTTGTCCCCCATTACAATGTTGCACTTATCCATACTTTGAGGGCAGCAAGGCTGTCCTGCAAGAATCTCTTACCTATCCACCCTCTGGCCCTGGTCTTGCTCCTTCAGCCTTCTCTTTGTTCCCCAAACTCAAAGAGCATCTAGAAGGAGCGTGACGTAGGCCCTCAGAGGAAGCCGGGCGGCTGTTTCAACGTGGTGTGCACGGAACAGTGCCGAATGCTTTGGGGGAAGGCTATTGTTAGTTCCTTCCCCAAACAACTACACTTGCTGGGGCTGCTAGTGGGTTTGAAGGGCGGAGTGCCTCTTCCCCTAACGTTCAAGCCTGCTCTTCCACGTCTGTGTAAAGCGAGGGGCCTGGGACACCCACAGGAGCAGTGATGGAGTGAGGGGTTGGCATGCCCTCGGGGGCGGTGACAGGGGCCCCTGACAGGGTCCTGGAGCAGCTCTGCTCTGGGAAACGCCTTTGTTAAGGTGCTGAAACGTGCGAGGTCTCCGGTCCTTGGGTACCTGTGATGGTTCTAACCCCGTGCCCGCCTTTTTTTTCGTTCCTAGGAGAGAAGGTTGCACATGTACATAGTTTATTGTCAAAATAAACCAAAGTCTGAGCACATTGTCTCGGAGTACATCGATACCTTCTTTGAGGTAAGACCATGACAGACAGACACTAGCCCAGTTCTGAATCTCCTCGCACTGCTGGGGCTCAGAGGCAGACTGCGGGAGCCTTGAGCCTCCGTCAGACAGAGAGCCCTACCTCGTGAAAATCTGTGTCTTCGTGCACTTTCAGTGCAGAGCTCGTGATTAATTCAGAATAGTCCTTGATGTAGCATTTAGTCCCCTGAGGTACAAATAAAATGCATGTTTAAAATGAGACATGAAAGAAGGCAAATTGAGGGGAGGCCTGTACATCAGCTTTACTGATTTGGAAAACACCTCAAATTCTGGAACTGAACTCAGCCCTGTGGCTCGGTTTCCAGCCAAACAGTGGGTCTCTGAGGGGGGAAGCCTAGCAATGGCGAGGGGCACACCCCGCGAGTAACCAGCATTAACCTGAGGACAGAGTTCCGAGGGGCGGGGGCTGGTGGGATGCTGAAGCATGAGTTGAAACAAAGTGTGTAGGCATTACTGAATGTAAAAACTGATCTACTCTGTAAACAATAAAAGTTCTTGAGAAAGAAAGAAAAGTACCTCTACAAGTCAACGTGTGGCGCTCTCTCGTGTGGCGCTCTCTCGCACTGGGCGGTGAGATGCAGACGGGAGCGGCTTCTCAGGTGACTTCTGCCAGCAGCGCCAGCAAGCAGGAAGACGGGAAAATCCCCCTTGACAAAAATCAACGTTACAGCTCTTGTTTTTTTTCTGCCCTAAAATGGCAGGACTTAAAGCAACGCCTTGGCCACAGGTTACAACTCACCGACTTGTTGATTAAACCCGTGCAGAGAATTATGAAATACCAGCTGCTGCTGAAGGTGAGAGAGCGTGCTGGGGGAGACCAGCCTCCATGACAGAGAGCCGGGGTACACTCAGGGGAGGGGTTATGGTGAACCAAAATAGAAATGTAATCTGGTTAACTTTTAAGATATTTCTAAGTAAATCCGTAAACTTGAACACCTTACATCCAGCTGAATCGAAATGCCCATGATCATGTTCTGAGACGGCTCTCTTCGGTATTTTCTAATCTTCTGGGGGTCTTCCAGAAAACAAAACTGGTAACCCCCGCCTTGCCCTCTCTGTTGGTGTGGCGATGGCTCCTGGTTTGTTTTGGTGATTAAACACAACCCGTAGGGAAGTCACATATTTTTCCATGATAAAGAGGGACTCATGGAATGGATTGTGATTCCGGCATCTAAGAAAGTTAGGAGCTGGATGTACAGGGAGGCAGGGATTGACTGATGTGAAACAGCAGCCATGGCCCCCGTGGAAAGATGGGGTCCAGTACCACAGCTGGCCCTCCAGGAAGGAGCCTTTCTTTTACATCGAAGGGGAGGACGGACGGAGCAAACTCGGCATGGAGCCTGGCCCCTATGGTCTGACCGAACCGGCCAGTTAGCTACTACTGACCGAGTTCTCTTCATTTCCCTTGCAGGACTTCCTCAAGTATTCCAAAAAAGCTAGCCTGGACACATCGGAGCTCGAGGTACTGCAGCCTCCCCGTCTCCCAGGCGTGTCGGAGGCCCACAGCCGTCCCTGGGAGTGGGGGTTGGCTCCTGTGTGTGTTGGGGGGCAGGAAACATGGGGGAGAGGAACCCAGCCCTTGAGCTGTGTGTGTTTTCCACACTGGCTCTCCATGGTTTGGAGGAAACTGAACTTGGACTCTGCTTTCTCCCCCAACAGAGAGCTGTGGAAGTCATGTGCATCGTCCCCAAGCGGTGCAACGACATGATGAACGTGGGGCGCCTGCAGGGATTCGATGTAATGCAGACAACGTTCCATAAAACTGCCCCACCCCCACCCCTGTCTCGGGCTATTTGTCCCCACGTGTAGGATGCAGATCCTTTGCTGCGTTTTTCTACCTTCTCGCTTGACTTCGGATGGTTGATAGGTTCTCTCTGCCTCTTTTCTGCATATTTGTCTTGCTTTGGGGAGTGGGACTGGCCTCGCTCCAAACCCAGGGCCTTGTGGCAGAAACCGGTAGGGCTGTGTTAGCGAGGTGGGCCCAGAGAATGTCCTTGGAGCCGAGTTTCTGCCCCTGGTACATAGACCCTTGTCAACAGCACTGAGGCCGTGAGAGCCACTGTTGTTTCCCATGAGGCTGCAGTGCGCCCTGCCGAGCTACTCACGTGACATCCTACCTGCAGGTTAGGCTTCAGAGTCAGTGGTTCAAGCCCACCAGCCATTCGTTCCATGGGGAAAAGATGCCTGCTCTTTTAAGGATTTGCAGGCTCGTCAATTCTACTGAAGGTCTCCACGAGTCAGAAGAGTACAATGAGTCGGAGGTGGCTTGGTGGCAGGGTGGCTCAGAAACCCACAGGGGCAGTTCTACCCTGGCCCCCAGGGTCATTATGAGTCAGAATTGGCTCGAAGGCAGTGAGCTTATTTGTTACCCTAAAAATATTCCAAGCTACCGAGTTAAGGGGCGGGGGTGGGGGGAATGTTGCTTGTCTTCACTACAGTGTTGCTAGAGAAGTAGGATTTCCGTTTAAAAGCTGTTTCTCAAACGTAAGCTCCCAGCAGAATCACCAGGAAAGGTATAGCCACTTCCCGTGCTGTCTGACCCGGGTCCCGAGGGTCTCCCCAGACAAGCTGGTGTGGACCCAGCCTTAGTCTCTGGTTGTAAATGAGCTCAGGGGCTTCTACAAAAGTTGGCAAGGATGCTAACTAGACCAGTGTTGTCTCTGAGGCTAACACATGGAGGGCTTTTCTCTTAAGAGGCGAGTTGCTGCATGAGAGGCGGGTTCCCATTCTGTGGGGGGGTCTCACCCCCTCTGTGTGTCACAGGGCAAGATCGTCGCCCAGGGCAAGCTGCTCCTGCAGGACACGTTCCTGGTCACAGACCAGGACGCGGGCCTCCTGCCTCGCTGCAAGGAGCGCCGGGTGTTCCTCTTCGAGCAGATGGTCATCTTCAGCGAGCCGCTCGACAGGAAGAGCGGCTTCTCCACGCCGGGCTTCCTGTTCAGGAACAGCATCAAGGTGACGCGGGCTGGGTCTCTGCGTGCCTTCCCGTATGGGCGCACTCACTGTGGTGTGACGTGTGCATGTGCCGTGGTACAACCGTGTGCACTGTGGTACACGTGCACATAACATGGTGTGCGTGTGTGCACATCATGTGTGACTGTGTGCTGTGTTGCAGACATACATACCTTGCACATGGGCATCATGCATGTGTGATACATGTACCAAGTGCCATGGTGGGTGGGTGGGTGTGTGCATGCCATGGTGTGTACGAGCTGTGGCGCAGGGGCACAGACGGTGATCAACTGCTGGCATGGGCAGTGACTTAGGTTGGCCCTTTGCTTCCTGAGTGTTTGCAGAATTTCCTCGTATGGTCTGGAACCTCGATCTGCCCCAGCACTCGCGTCACCTCTGCGTGGCAGTGGGGGTGGCAGCCTTTGACTCGTGGGGAACCTCCTAACACGCAGTACAGACACCGTCCCGTCCCCAACCATCCCCACTATGGGCCGGAGCCATCCACAGGGTTCTCCCCGGCCGGTTCTCAGACTTTTGTCTGTCTCAGTCTGGTCAGCACCTCAGCAACGTGCCAGCCCCCACAGACTGGCGGGGGGCATAGGCGAAGGTTGGCTGGGAGCCAGCCTGGGTCTTGTGTGTGTGCAGAGGATCCCATGGCGGGCAGCCTTCCTCCGAGGTGATTTGTGTGCCCTGCCCTCCAGGACCATGTGAGACACTCCGTGTGGAGGAGTCTCGCTCTGTGAGCAGAAACAATGCCTGCCTCGGGGTCGTCTTTTCATTCACCCAAGGAGGTGCTCAGGGAAGGCCGGGCAGGCACACTCTCCTGCTTGGAGGTGTCTCCTCACCCAAGAACGAGAAAGACAAACGAGCCAGAGAAAGACCCCGTTGCTGTTGACCCCAGCACACAGGGGCCCCTCAGGCATCCGACTAGCACCGAGGCCCACAGGGCGATGGCCTTACTGAAACCAATCACCAGGACTTGCATCCGTGGCACCGCCAAACTTCCCGGCAGTAGCTAAGCCCAAACCATTCTCACCACCAAGGGAGAACTGTCTGTCTGCCAGTGAGTCTGTTCTGATTCTCGGTGGCCGGGACAGCACATGGCCCCAATTCCCGGCCAGGACACACCAGCGGCAGGGGAAGGAGCAGAGGGAGGAGAGGATCCCCCTCAGCTTCCCAGCCTTCCTGCCCTAGCTGCCCAGCCCTCGGGTACAGGGACTCCCCTGCCCTCTGTCCATAGACAGCACACCATCTCCTGCTCCCCGTGGCTCCATGCATCTCCTGGAGGATCCAGCAAGTACAGCTGGGCGCAGTCTCCAGGCTGCAGACGATCCTGAGCCCAAGGAGAGTCGAAGGCCTGCAGCTGGGCAGCGCTCTAGCTGATACCACCTTGCCCTCCCCATGGACCCCATTGGGTTCTTCACAACGTGCCTGTGACATGCACCCCGACCTGCACTCGGTCCCCTGGACAGGAAGTCACTCCTGCCCCACACACATTCTCTTCTGTGTACCAGTATCCAGTATCTGTCACATACTGTACTTGATGTCACATGTTGGCACTGAAGAAAGAAGGAATGAAGCCTGGGCCTGATCTGGCAGGTATCTGACAGCGGTGAGAAGGCGGTCCGTAAGGCTTCGATGGCTTTTGTTCTCTCAGAAGTAGACCACCTGGCCTTTCTTCTGAGGTACTTCTTGGTGGCGTTGAACCGCCAACCTGTGCGTTAGTGGTTGGGTAATTACAGCACCATGAAAAATCACGAAACTATCTCACTCTGAGGTGGGAAAATGGTAGCTCACCCAAAAAGTGACTGCTTCCAAATTTGACTGGGGGTTTGAGTTTGTGGGGGTCTCGAGTTTGGCTCGTGGCTCGTGTTTGGCTGCAGGGTTTTTGAATTTGACTGGTGGTTGGAGTTTGACTGAGGTGGTTTTGAGTCTGCCGGGCGGCCTTGGGTTTGAGTGTGGTGGCCTCCGGTTTGACACAGTAGGCAGACGTCCTTTTGTACTTGGCCGGTGGCAGTCACGGTTCTGCACTGTCTTTCAGGTGAGCTGCCTTTGCCTGGAGGAAAACGTGGAGAACGACCCCTGTAAATTTGCGCTGACGTCGAGGACAGGGGATGTGGTGGAGACCTTTATTCTGCATTCATCCAGCCCCAGTGTCCGGCAGACGTGGATCCACGAAGTCAACCAGATTCTAGAGAACCAGCGCAATTTTCTCAATGGTAATGTGTTCTGTCCCCTCCGGCTGTGTGCCGGTCACAGGGACCGCCCATTAGCACTGACGGTACAGCCAGCACCGTTCTGAGCACGGTACGCAGTCTCCACAGCAACCCTCAGTACTGTTGTTTTTCCCACTTTGCAGATACGGCTGCTCGGCCCCGAGTTGCTCATCCGCCATTTGCCCAGTTGTTGCCGGCGGACTCAGGGTTCAGAGCAGGCCCCCTGGGTCTTCCCCACCCCATCTGTCCCGTGCAGTTGGGCCAATGGATCCTAACGCATGTAGCAGGAGAGGACCGGGCACACATTGTGGGGACTGTACCAGGGGGATTTTAACTTTTTATTGTGATGGTTTACGGAGCAGATCATAGTTTTACTCAGTAATTCTTACACACTGATTCAGCGCCTCCACTGCAGCCCCCTGCATGCACCACTGGTCATCCCACTTCCTCCCTGTGTTTCCTAGTCCTCCTTCTCCCCGGACCTTCTGAACTTGGTCCTTGGGTCAGTGCTGCTCTTTTGAGCTTGAGTGGTTGGTTATTCTAACACCGAGTGGAGTCCAGTTCCTGGCTGGAAGGATAAAGGCCGCAGTCTTGGGGCCCCACCAGTCTCTCTCTAACCAGTCAGCCTGGTCTCTTGGATGAGTGTGACTTCTGTCCCACAGTTGCTCCGACTCTATCCAGGACCCGCCAGCGGGACCCTTTTCAGAGCAGTCGGTAGTGGTAGCTGGGCACCGCCTAGTCCTTCTGGTCTCAGGGTTGCGAACACTGCTGTGTGCCCTGCGTCTTGCATTGCTCGTCTTTTCTCCAGACCGGAAGAGATCAATAGTTGCACCTTAAATGGCTGCGCACAAGCTGTTTAAGACCCCAGTTGCTATTCACCAGAGCAGGATGTAGAACTATGTC